GTACTGCTCGGACTTGTCCAAGAGCCATCTACACATAAAATAAAAAGAATACATTACATACATCATTTGAAGCATCATTAGCTCAATCTTGAATATTAAAAGCCTCACCATTAATAAAAGGCACTTCATTAAAGTACACAAGTACTCCTTGTCAAGAGCCTTGGAAATTTTCTGCAAACAAAATTATATTCCTTCAAAACCTACATCTCTTCCATGATCAGAAATCTGTCTTCATGAATTTAAAAAATACTACACACTTTTAAAAGATAAACACGGTAAACTCGTTTAAGCCCATGAGCCTAAAAATTAAACTTGCTATATATTTCATTAATACATTGTAGAAGGAAAAAAAGTCACATCATCATCTTATCTGGGTTCAAACAAATTAGAAGACATATTCTCCAAAATCTAGCTGTAAATTTATAATTTTGGTAAAATTAAGTTTCATTTTAAAATGTTGCACCTGCACAATGCAAAGTTTGAATGAGAAATTCAAGAATATTCAGATTGACTATAGAATTTGTTAATGTTTTAATACAAAGATGAATTTTCAAAGAATATTTACCTACCTTCCCAGATTCTTAAAATGTAAACATCGTTGCTTTCTACTTTTACCAGTACCTTAGCTAGCTTTTATAAGTCATATCTAAAGATTATGTATATGCTTAAGATGGACTATTTCGTCTTTTAAGCAGAAACTGCACAAACTCTCACACACACTCTTCAATCAGTTTACAATTTTGAGAAAATATATATTAGCATCTTACGGCATACCTCCATCTTCAAGAGGTCTTTTTTGTCCCCCATAACTGTAATCATTTGAATTCACAGATGTCCCTGATTCATTTCCAATTTTTGCTGCAATCTGGAAAAAAAGATACACATTTACTTTTACCAACAGAATTACATCATACTGAATATAGCACAAATAAAACACAATGTATTTCCCCTCCAAAAGAGACACCAGGTCTTATTTTCAGAGAATCTTTTCCACTCATCTCATGGTGGCAGCACTAACAGCCCCGCCCAGCCTGCCCACTTCTTTTCAACAGCTTCGCCCAGCCTGCCCACTTCTTCTGCGCCTAAGGAGCAGCTTCATTCTGCAGTTGAGAATGGAGCTCCCGCCTGCATTTCTCAGTCAGAGGCCTTGAAAGGCCTCTGACTGCAAAATGCAGGCAGGAGCTCCATTCTCAGCTGCAGAATGAAGCTTCTCCTTCAGCTGGTGAGGCAAATGTCGATCCATGGTAGGCCTGGCTGCAATGGTAAGCTCCAACCCCCCACCCCACCTGATTTTTAGGTATGCACTTTGTCCCAAAACTAGGGCTTATTTTCGGGGTAGGTCTTACTTTTGGGGAAACACGGTACTTAGCATCCATACAAGAAACATTCCTTTATTATGAAATCATTACTGATAAGTTTTATACAGGCTCCACTGATAATTAATTATATAACACAAATATTCTATATTTGTTGCAGTCATTAATGAATATTTATGAAACTGCTTAACATACTAGTTGCTACTAGCTAACTATGGTCTGTTTTGTTTAAACTATTAAAAGAAAAGGAATTGGGAAAGACCTTATACCTTGATATATAAATCCTCCTGATCCTTTACTTTCTTTACAGATCACCAATGAAAGAACTTGGCTGAACAGGTCAGTAACCATTATCAATCTGTGTAAATCCTCCGTAACAGAGTCAAAGAGGAAATATGAATTGAATGAATACTACTACACTACCAAGAATACAGAACTATACTTAGCGCCGTTAAAGACTAGGAATGTGTACTATATATTTAAAATATACTAAATGTTAGAACTTAATAGGCCCCTTCTTTTTAAAAAATGATCACAGAATGTGTTTCTATCAGCAGTCCAATCTTATTTGTGCTTCCTAAAAGTCAATCCCATGTTTCAGAGCACTTCAGCAGAGCTTATTGCTAAGAGTAAGCTATTTAAAATAATCTTGATGAAACATCCAAGTGCAATTGAATTGTCTGTTGATGTAAGGGCTTTCCCCCCCCCCTCCATCTAATCATGTCGGATTCTCGCAGAATGCATGGACAAATCTCTGCAGTTTTCTTGGCAAGGTTTTTCAGAAATGGTTTGCCATCACCTTCTTTCTAGGGCAGAGAGAAAGTGACCAGCCCAAGATCATGCAAACAACTTTGTCTGCAGGTTTCTAACCTGATGCCTTAACTGCTACCCCAAGGTAAGATATAATAATTTGCTTACCAATGTATAAGTGTCAGACAACTTCAAAATAAATGTTACCACTACATCTCTCTTTGATTGCACTATTTTCTACTCTTTCAACCCCAACTTTATAGGCTTATATATTTTGTTCTCATATAGTATGAAATTCATTCTTCAGTGGCTCAGCTTTGAGGTTCATTTTCCCCTCCTGTTCCATGTGAAACCATTCTTTCTGCCTTTAATCTGAAGTAAATGACATTTTGAGTTGAAATCCAAATCAACTCAATTTCAAATTCAATTCAACTCCAATAGAAACTAATCAAGGAAAGAACCAACCTAGAACTAAGGAGAAATTTCCTGACAGAACAATTAATCAATGGAACAACTTGCTCCAAAACTTGTGCGTGCTCCAATACTGGAGACTTTTAGGACAAAATTGGACAACCATTTGTCTGAAATGGTATAGGGTTTCCTGTTTGAGCAGGGGTTGGACTAGAAGACCTTCAAGGTACCTTGCAACTGTTATTCAAACAAAATAGGGGTAAATAAGGAACTGATTAAATTGAAGGTACTTGCCATGTTTAAGCCAATCCAATAGATCAAACTTGATTTGGTACTGGATTGCATATAACACTGGGAACTTTTTCAAACTCCCTCAACTTCAGGATAAAGTATCCCCTTAAGTTCCCCCCCCCCAATCATACATTTAACTCACAACATTATTGCTTTTATAGTTTTAAGATGTCATATATTCCCTTCCCTTCTTCCACTAGGCCTAATGGTATACTTTATCTCTTTTTAAAGGAAGCTTGATTTTATTCCTATTTAAGAAGATGCACTAACACTGAAAGTCATTTTGAATTTGAAAACTGTACTGCCTGTGGTCACCACTGCATATATGCTTTTCTCTTTCTATAACTGATTACATTTCACAAATGTGAAATTTCTTTGTGTTTATTAAAACATTAACTATAACACAAAGAGAAGAAACAAAGCCTCACATTAGATTATTTTAAAAGAATCTCTTCAGTAATATAACAGCTCACAAAAGCCAAGAATCCATTTTTTCTACTTCTCTAAAATGCTTCAACAAGATTGCTTTGCCCATTTTTCAATTAGCTGAATTTCCTCTGAATAAAAATGAAAAGAATTCTAAATCAAAATTTATCTTTGCTTCCAACAACAAAATACACTTAAAAGAGTTCAAAGTCCGAGAACAGCACCAAACACCTCCTAACAGCAAAAGAGGGGAATTAACATCTATTTTAGTCATAGAAAGCCCAAAACTGAAGAAAAAATGTCAAGAGCAATTTCTAAATATTAGACTACCTGGAAACCCTTAACACATCATCTCTACAACGTTTTATTATTAAGAAAATGGGTGGGCCAGATGAAAGCTGGATGTGTGTTTCCTACAGAAACAAAAGAAACTATTACACACAGTACAGCCTATATTTTGTGCACGGAAAAGTTAGTCTTTAACAGAAATGGAGGGCGCCAAATTATAGGACTCCGCTCTAAAAGCCAACAGTTCCCAATTACGGACATTCTCCCGCGAGCGAGATGCAGGCGAATATAATGGAAAATATTGCACAAAGACGTCAGCATTAGGCGGGGGGCAACGTAAAATCTTCCGCACAGTGGAAGAGCGAATGGACCTGGGAAGGAGACTGGGGGGAGGGGGGTCAGAAAAGCGGACACACCCGACTCCCTTTTAGTTAGGATGTTAGGAAAATAACTTTTCCGCCAAACGCGGAGTTTAAAAAGTATAAACTCATTCAGTTTCTTTGAATCTCAACCTAACCTCTTTCTCCGCCTTCCTCCTTCCTCCACATAGCGGACACATAATGGATACCAGGCGATTTGGCCTACGCGCCTTTTGTAGGTAGCAATGGGACCAAAACCTGCACCGAGTCCTGAAAAAAGCCTCCCAAAGAAAGGCCACCCCAGCCCTTCAAAGGGGCCACTGGGAACGCCTCCGCAATGGCGGCGGGTTTTGGGTTGTCTCCTTTTGCGAAAGAAGCCGAGGGGTGAATGAGAGAAGCCAGCGGCCTGCTTGGAAGTCTGAGGAGCCAGTCAGGAAAAAAAAAAAATCCGTTCAGGGCTCGTAATACACACCTGCCTAGCCCGTTGCAGCGCGTCTTTAAAAGCATCATTGACTGCCCCGCCACCTCCTCCACCTCCACCGGGTGCTCCCGAAGAAGGAGGGGGCACCGTAGAATAATCCGACATGTCTCCTTCACTACTTCCTACCGTCCTCCCAGCCTGCCAAGAAAGAAAGAAAATGGCGGCGGGCGGGATCCTTTCACATTCTTGCGTCGCATCGTGTTTCGCGAGAGGAGGAGGGGAGGCCGCTAATACCCTCGCGAGACATCTCAGAAAAAGACGCGAGATTTTGAGCCGGAGCAAACCGAGATGACGAAGGCTGGAAGGAAGGTTTCCCTCCTCCACGCCACTCGAGCTAACTCTCGCGAGATAAGAATCGGGATGCAGGAGGTAGAATGGTTCAGAGCTTTCTAGGGTGCGAAAAGGAAGGAGGGGTGTTGTAGATCGTTAAACGGATATGTGAAGGGCGGCGCGCGCATGACTTCTTCCTGGGTTAGATAAGATGATAGCCTCTCGGGGAGGGCGTATCTCGCGATGGTTGGTTAAGTAAAATCTCTTTCCCCCCCGCCCCCAGCCTTCTTTCAACCGATATATTTGGACAGTTGTGAAAGGAACTGATTTGTGGTACTGTACTTGCTATCGCCTTGTCAGGGAGCGTCTGTCGTGGTGGCGACAATCTGCCGGCTAGCGAGTGAGTCTCTTAGGACGGGTAAATCGGAGGGAATGTCTTTAATTGAGCCTTTGATTCTCGAAGGCATAGAAAAAGCAACGGGGTTTGATTACCGATGGGGTGCGCTGAGGCGAAGGAAAACTCTCCAAATGTCGCCTATCCGCTTCGGGTGAAAAGCATATATAAAGACAAGTTACGTATCTCATAAAGGCTTTTTCTAAAATGATATGACAAGTTTGCCACCTGCCGTTCAAAATAAGGCGCTTCTATACACAAGCATTCTCTCCTTAATGTACGTAGAGTAATAAAAGCAATGAAGTCGGTGGCCAAGCGAGGGTTAAAAATTTGGTGCGAATGTTGCTGTGCAGTGTTGAGAACATGAATTAAGCTTTATGATTTAAATTAATAAATTAAAACTGAGCGTTAATAAAATAATAAAAGATGGAGAGTGGTCGATGTGCGAAAATCCACGGTAGGTATGATGAACTTCCAAATTCATTATGGTCATTTCCCATTGTAAGAGTTATTAGGTTGTAGATACATAAAAAAAAATAACAGAGCTTGCTTCCTACAAAATGGACTTTGGGTTATTAGAAAATTATTTCTGTAATTGTCACTGTATTAGCTTTTCTGCACAATTTCTTTTGTCTATATTTTTCAGTAGAATTTTTACTGCAAGGTATAAAAAGTAGCTGCAGCAATACTCTACATAATCCCACCCTTCTCATAATTTTATCTTTAATTTTTTTGTAATTTTTGATTGAAATGATAGTTGATAGTATAGTTCATGTAAGATAGAGGTTAATTGACCTAGCAAAGATCTCTTGTTCCTCATTGTCCTCTTCAGTAAGTAAGTTTTCCTGGTGGAATTACATTTGAAATTTGATTTATATATTGCTAATATCATTTTTTGTTGAAATTTTTTGTTGGATAAAAAAGATAGTGGTGATCATCCAAATCAGGTAAGGAAACATTCATTTTCTGTTCTTGTTGAAAATGTCAGTTGCTGCACAGGTTGATGCCAGAATTAGATACTGTTCATGTGATTTATTGTTTAGGAGCAAAGCTAATAAAATCAGCTTTAAAGGGAGATGCTCAAATAATTTATAATGGTTTTTCTTTGGATACTGGCTCTGATAGCATATCTCGTTTGAAGCACTTCAGATTACTAATAATTAAAAAAAATCGCCCCAAAGAGAATAGTTAATAAAAACGTGAAATCATTGACCTAGGTTGAAATCCTATAGTTTTTTAACTACATCACTAGTTTATGAGATTAATATGAGAAGGAATAAACAATTATTACTAGTCTTAATTATTTGGGGGAATAAAGCTTAGTATCAAATACTTTGATGCAATAATTCTATAGTATAGTATTTTTGTTATGAGTTTACAGCTAAAAAAATATTTTTAGATGACAGTACCTGTATTTGTACAGGTTGTCAGTGACATCTAGTGGTCTTAGCTCTTCTTCCTGGAAAATAATAAGCTGGGGTATTAAAATCTTTTTCAAATCTAGTTTCATTTTTGATGACTTCATAGATAAGGAGACATGGAGTTTTCCTGGCAACAGAATGGAAGTGTTATTCACTGCCTTTTCTCAGGAAAGTGTTACTGTGCTAAGGTAGCCTATAAGTGTATTTCTTCCTGACAAATTCCCATCCAAATGCAACCAGGCATTTGCTAATGAACCTTTCAAAGAGTTGAGTTCTTGCTGCATTTTATTAGGTAGCTTTTAAGAGCAGTTTGCTTTGGTGAAGAAGCTGCAATACAGCTTGCACATTAAGAGCTACACTGCATTGTTTCTTGTAATGATTTCAGAAAATGCAGGAGATGACCTTTGAGGAAAGAAATTCTAAATAAAATTTCTTGATCTTAAACATGGGTAGCAATCAGAGTTAGGGCTAGGCAAATGTTTTAGTTTAAGATTGTGGAGGGAGATTGCTTTGTGGTTTTTTTCACTCCTTTTGTGGAGTTAAATAGCAATTTAGTAAGAAAACTTTTTCTCATTTGCAAGACAAAAAATTCTGATCAAAGTGAGTATCAATATTAGTTATCTGACCTATCACCTTGAATATATCATGGACTTTCTATTACAGACATTCTTAATGTGGAGTATGTGGGTAGATTTCATGGTGTCCATGAAAAAGAATTATAATTTTATTTCACTAATCTAACTGAAATTTAGTTTTTCATTCAATAATGTAGGCAGCAAAGTAATTTTGCTAGAATCCAAAAATGTTTGTTAAGGCCAGTAACCTCACTGTTAAAAACTGTAATAGCCTTAAACAGAGTATTTTCTTGTTTTAATGGATTAATAAAGAAGCACATATGTTACTATGTTGCGAAGTTGTTATTTCTAATATTTTATTAGCTATACTTGAACATAATCAATTTTCTTTGTAATATATATGTAATTTTTGACAAGGATCCATAGATTTCAACAGATTCTCAAAAGACCCATGCCAGGGTAAGAACCCCTGTTCTACTGGAAAACTTCAAGCTGTTGAATCCAGCTGTTACTGAAAAGTACAAGAGAGTTGGTTGGCTGTTAACTTTAACTTTAGCAGTGTGAGTCATACTCTAATGTGTTAGTGGAGAAAAGACTGAGTATATCTGGCATGGATACTTGGAAACATACTCCACCCCCTGGAATACAACACATGTCCACATCTGAAATGCACGCAGGTCCTTTTTTGGTAAAGTATTGTTAGCATGAATTTTCTTCCACTCTGCTTGGAAGTCATCTCTTCCCTCCCTCCACAGATTATTACCACCAACAGCTTTGTGGAAAGGGTCCCAGAAGGGAGAGGAAGGAAAGCAAACAACAGCTACCTTCTAAATCTGCATAGCTGTACTCTCTTCTCCACGTTTCTATTATCCTCAATTGCCCTGTGGGAAAAGTCTTATAAATTTAATTTCTTTTAAAATAATATTCATAGTATTTACAGTTACTTATGTTGTTTGTGAACTGCTTTGGGAAGCTTATTTTTTAAAAATAGGATATAAAAATTGTAGTAGTGACAAACTGTATCATGTACATTTCTACTCGGGATTATGTTCTGTTATATTCAGGGATTTAGTTGCAGGGAAACATTTACAGAATTGCAGCTTATAAGCACTTTTAATATTCCCTTCAAATATTTTTTTCATAATCAAACTGAGTAAGTTAACGACCATAAAAATAAGCAACTAATAATAATCTTGTTTGGAAAAATAATTCAGTACTGAAGTTTTCTACTTTCTCAAGAGACTCATGACAATTTTTTTAAAAACAGACCATTAGCTACCAATCTTCCATCTCATCATGGTTCACAAATTCAAATCATCCATAAGTCTCTTCAAAGCTTTTCTTTTATTCCATAAGATCACAATATTTTCCTGCCTTGTTCTGAATGTTTAGCTTTAAATTTAATCATTTTGTATTTCTGATCATTAGAAATGAGCATCTTTATTTTTGTAATATGCACAGGATGAAGGTTTTGGCAAACAAATATTTATGGAAGGAGAATCTGAAAATTTTAACGGACATGCAATGTTGATAGATTATAGGAAGAGGAGCCTAGGAGGAAGGGGAATGGCATGAAATGGATTGTATTGAAAAGGAGCAGCCTACATCAAAATATTTTATTATATGACCTACTTCATTGCAAAAGAACTTGTAAAAAAGTCTGCGTAATGAGGAAGAAAGACAAATGGAAAGACAAATTGTCTTTAAACAGAAATAAACTGCATGGTATGAAACTGGCTAATAGAATGGAATTCTTTAGGAATTGCAAAGAAATATGAATCTTGAGACCTGTGATATTTTAGAAAAGCTTAAGTTGGAAAGACAATATTGTGCATAAGAGATTTTATATTGTATTGTACCATACCATACCATACCATACCATACCAATTTATTATATTATCATTGGAATGTTAGGGGAGCATTTCACACGAAAGGAATTCCTTGAGAAAATAATCCCCTTCAGGTTTTCATGGGAAGTGAGAACTCTTGGGAAGCATTCTGTACAAGTACATCTTAAATGAACAAATTATATTTGGAATAAGCAGTCTTGCAAGCCCCAAACTATGAAGGATTTCAAAGACCAGCTCTTTGGAAACGAACTGGCAATAAAGAAAATCCTACAATATTGATATTACATGACAATATGGATGTATTTCATTTAATAACCAGCCCTTTGCATTTTGTTACAATTGCAGTTTCTAGATGGTTTTTTTTAAGGACAGTACTATATACAGCACATTATGTAATCTTCTAGTGAGGTGACAAAGATATAAGTGACTATTGTCCACATCTTCTGCAAGAGTATTCATATTAGCACACATATTGAAGTAGACAAAGGTCTTAGTCACAGCTTAAATCTGCTATTCCAAAAGGAGCTGAGATAACAGAAACACCCCTAAATTGTACACCAACTTTTTTAGTAGAAGAATAACTACTTAGCTCCATAGGAAAGCTTGAATTGTCTTAGATTTAGTTGACTGAATTTTCAATCCACAAACCCTCTACTTTGATAGAGTAAAGTCTTACTCTGTTTCTCAAGATCCTTACAGAGTCCTGACCTGGGATAAGACTACCAGACACATCTTGATAGACTGGAACTGAGATGGTTAACCTAGTTCTCTCAATATAGTAATGATACCAAACCCCTTTTGTTGGGTTATCTCCCTCAGTGACTACATGTAGATGTTAAATAAAATGTGAAAGAGGTTGAATTTTGTGACATCTCATGTACAGGTAGTCCTCCACTTACAACCATTCATTTAGTGACCAAAGTTATAAGGGCACTGAAAAAGGTGACTTGACCATTTTTCACACCTACAACTGTTGCAGCATCCTCATGGCCATATGATCAAAATTTGAGCACTTGTCAGGTGGGCATGTATTTATGCTTGTTGTAGTGTCTCACCTTTTATGACCTTAGCAAGCAAAGTCAATACGGAACCCAGATTCACTTATCCATGTTACTAATTTAACAATTGCAGTGATTCAATCAACAACTTTGGCAAGAAAGGTTGTAAAATGAGACAAAATTCACTAAACTACTGTCTTGCTTAGCAATGGAAATTTTGGGGTTAATTATCATAAGTCAAGTACTACCTGTACTCATTGGACATATCCAGTCAGGAAGAAATTGAACTGCCATGGAATAATGCCTCTAATTTTTGTATTGTGTCCAGAAATGCACCAAGACTTCATTATAATAAGGTAGACTACCCCTTCATCCAGATCTCATTGTAGGTGGTGGCCTATGTAAAGGAAGGTTATTGAGTGGATGATGGTTGTCCAATATAGCTTGGTCCTTGATCAGACCGATGAGGTGATGCTTTAGTGCCCTTTTAGAAATATTAGCATCTCTTTCTCTCCAAATGATGCATTCACAGGGACCATTGGTATCTCATTTTTGGCCTTAATTACACTAGGTATAAATGAGAATTGTCTCTGACAAGCTTTTAAGATTATATTACAATATCCAGCTAGCAATAAAAATATTTACAAAAGTTTAAACTGTTCTTCCTTTACTGAGTCTGGCATACTTGAAGGATTTTACAACAGTCTTGAGAGCCTTGTTATTCTTTTATTAGATGAGGATTGGATTGTGAATTCTGGACCTAGACCATGGCTAAAGATCCTTGAAATACCTCCTATCTGTAGAACAAGTTGTTGAGCCATTATTACAGCATAGACAGCAGATAGATACATAAATCATGAGCTTATAGAATGTTACGATGTAGTTAGTCCAGCATTTTGGTCAAGCTTGCCTCAACTTGGATTGGCCCCACAGGCAGCTTTTCCATGGGTGATATTTTGTTCCCTTTTGTTCCCTTCTGGAGAAGTTAAGGGAGAATCCTCAGGACAGATTCTCAGCGTTCGCTAACCAGTATAAACTATTTATGACTGGCAGGCCAGCAGAGTTTCCTGCAGATTTGGACCAATTTTTTTTTTGTTCTGACCTTTTTGAATGAAGGCGCAGTCAGGTGGGGTGTTCTCTCACACTGAAATCAAAGTGCCATCTTGGACAACTATAACAATTTTATGCAGAAATTTAGAACTGCCTTTGACAATTCCATTCAACAAATTCAATGTTATTTTCACAATTTTATTTAAGAACAAGCAGCTTTCAGGATTTTGAAACTAGTCTCAGACTACTCTTCCATCTTGATCCCAGCTGCCGCATTGTGAAAAGTGATACTTCGAACTGTTTTGATTGCTGTTTTTTTTTTCAGACTTCAGCAGATAAGGACATGTTGCCTTGTACATCTTATTCTAGACTTCTCCCAGCTGGGTGGGATTATGAGTTTGTGATAAGGACTAGCTATCAATAAAAGCCATGTTCCAACAATGGAGGCATTTCTTAAAAGGAGTGGTTCATCCAATGTAGGAATCCCTAAGAATCTGAAATACCTGCAGAAGGGCCATTTATTTACTTAGCATGAAATTTTTCTCTAGTTTTAACGTCTACATTATTTATATTTCTAACTTGCAGAATGAACAGTCAGGTAATCTATGATGCAAACCTCCTGAATGTTCCATGTCTGGTTCCTCGTCACAATCTTGAAATCAGACAATTTCGCTACTCTCGCTCCTAAGATGTCTCTTAAACAATAGGACCCATATATCAGAGTTCAGATGGATGACTTCAAGAGAGTCTTGCAATTTGATTTCAGGTTCCAATCTGCTGTTTGCTGATTGCAATTCCTCTGACCCTGACACATGCACATCCATACCTCAAGCAATATTCTCCCTTTCACAGCTCCCCATTTTGCCCTTGTGCTTCTTGAGGGAGTAGGTTTATGTGGTGTTTCCCATATCCTGTCTCTCTTTTTTTCTTTTTAACCATTTGTAGTTCACCATTGGGTTGCTCTCACAAACTACAGCCCATTCTCTAACTAACAGCTCCCACTTCCCAGTTTCAGCTGTTCCTGTTGAATACTTCTCAGTGCTACCTCCCTCCTTCCAGAAACTACCTCCCTATCTTCCCTATGAGAGGTGCTTGCAGATAGCTAATGATCTTGGTGACAGGCAAGCATAGCTGCTGTCTCACAATAGGCTTGTCCCTGTGGCTCCACTGGCAATTATTATTGCTGCTCTTGCTTTTTTTTTAAATAGTTTGAATTAAAAAGGGTTGTATATTCAGTGTGTAGGAAGACAAATTTTCTAAGTGTTAAAAATTTTATAATTCCTTTAGTTGTGTATTTTCTGAAATGTTTTTAAACTGACCACCTTTCATACTCACTCCCATAAAGTATTTGTCACAACTAGTAGATTCAACTAGTTTTATTTTAAATATTAAGAAATAGTTTTCTGTAGCCCATTTTTTTACAGTAAATATATAAAACAGACCTATATCTATAATTTACCACCCAAACAATACTAAATGGCTACAAAATTCCACAATTAAGGTTTTTTAAAAATACTTTCATATGAAGTTAGTCAATGAATAGTTAAATGTGCAAAGATAGAACACGACAGAGTTTTGGCAGTAGCCAACTTGGGAAATGACGTCTTATAACATTTGCTGTTCTAGAAAAGAGCAGAGACACGTAGTGTAATTGGGAGTGCTCTGGGTGGCAGTGTTTTTACCAGTTCAATCTTTGTACAAAGTGATCAAGGAGAAAGAGAAGGTGGCAACAGTCTTTCTGGCTGATTAATAGAACTACAGTTCTTGTTAATTTTTCTTTTAGGAACATTGCATAGCTGAGATAGAGAACTCATAAACAAAAGAAAGCATACTTTTTAAACACTGAAATGGGAAAGGATTACTATTCTGTTCTTGGAATTGAAAAAGGAGCATCTGATGAAGACATCAAGAAAGCATACCGAAAACAAGCCCTTAAATGGCATCCAGACAAGAATAAATCTTCCCATGCAGAAGAAAAATTCAAAGAGATTGCAGAAGCCTATGAGGTATTGAGTGATCCCAAAAAAAGAGAAATTTATGATCAATTTGGAGAAGAAGGTAATATGATTTCTGTTGTTTCATTATAGCTATTAATAGAGATATATTTGTGCTGAATATAATTAAAATCAAGAGGGAATGAGCATTTGGTTGTAAAAACTTAATCTGAGAATTTAGCTAAATTATATTTCAGTAGCTAGATACTCATTACATTTGCAAGTCCTGCTTATGAAATTTCTAATTAGTTTTCTATTATGCATGGTAGGATTCTTAATTTTGGTTGCAAGAACTTCAGGAATATTAAGTTGCTTTTGGCTCTGATAGTTGTTGAATTGGTTTATTTTGTCCTATTCTTATAGTAACAAAAATTAAACTTTATATTTTATTTTTGTTAAAATAAGATTGAAATAGAAGGATGGTATTTCTGAACCAGAGACCAGGTGTCCAGACTACGTTTACATTGGAATCTTGTCTAAAAAGGAAAGAATTTGCCTGATGTCATGAAAATACCATGACAAGTTTTCAGCTTCCTTTCCAGCTATTAATGTATCAAGGGAATGAGGCCTACCTTTTAGAATTCAGCTACTGCCTTTATCTTTCAAAATTTAATTTAAGATTTGGAAATAGCTTTTGTTCTGCTAATGAAGTTGCATATTTACATTACAGTCTTGTGTTTTCTCAATGAGACAGAAGTATCCATGTATTTTTAACTCTTATATTGAAATATAAGAGTTAAAAATGCATCAGTATTTAATAAGTATCTTATAGAAACACATGTTTCTCATAAATGCATAGGTTTATGTAAAAATTCAAATTAAGTAGTAATTTATAATTTTAGTATTGCCTCCCTGTATTCTTGAGAAACTTATAAGACCTTGATATGCTGAGTCTTATTTTTAAAGTCATGAATCAATGTTCTTAATATCTTTATGTACAGCATTAGGGACAATATCTAATGAGATAATTTAGTCAGAGTTAGAGATTGACTCTTGTTCAGACCATGAATAGACAGTTAATCTACTCTTCTTTTTAATTAGACATGGGATTGATATGTTTTGAGCACAATCAATCCATTATCTATTTTGGGAAGCATCATTCTGTCAAGTACATGGTATAGTTTACTTAGTTCTACATCTTTAGTTGCTAAATTTTGATAAATAAACATTCCACTCACAAACAATATATATAATAAGCAGGAAGAATGCCAATAATGCATACGTAAGCCTTACATTTTGACACCTTATTTGCACTATTCAAACATGGTAAAACCAGCAGAATAAGATGGTTGTTATTATATTAACCATAATGTTCAATTCTATACAAATAGGCAGCCAATCTATCCTTTGTCAAAATTGATCTCATATCATAGGTTAATGAAAAGAGAAAAAAAGGAGCATGCAATCAACAGTTATGTCAGCTGCTTAAATACTTGCTCTAGTGATCAGGTATAGCTTATGCCAGAGTAGTTTGCAAGACAATAAACTCACTGCTTCAAGAAATACTCTTACTCAAAATTTGTATCAGAGATTAATTTACTTACAGGTAATCCTTGACTTACAACCACAATTGAGCTCAAAATTTCCATTGCTAAGCAATGCAGTTGTTAAGTGCATTGACTTTTATGACCGTTTTGCCATAGTTGTTAAGCAAATCACTGCAGATGGTGAGTGAATCATTTGGTCGTTAAACAAACTTGGCTTTCCCCATTGACTTTGCTTATCAGAAATAATAATAATAATAATAATAATAATATAGTAATAGTAATAATAATAGTAGAGTTGGAAGGGACCGTGGAGGTCTTATAGTCCAACTTCCTGCTCAGGCAGGAAACCCTATACCATTTCAGACAAATGGGAAGTCAGTTGGAAGGTTAAAAATGGTGATGACAGACACCGGGAGAGTACAATTGTCATAAATACATGCCAGTTGTCAGTCAGTGCCCAAGTTTTGATCATGTGGCCGTGGAGATGCTGTAACAGTTATAAGTGTGAAAACTAGTCACTTTTTTCAGTGCCATTGTAACTTTGTAACTTTGAATGGTCACTAAACAAATGGCTGTAAGTCGAGGACCACTGATATTGAATTTTCTATTTCTTCAAAATTAAAGTTTTATGATTTTGACACCAGAACATGAGGTATAATTGTAGCAGGATTTTATTTCATAGCTTGCCTGGATTAAAATGTTTAGAATATTTATGAATCTATTTTTATATATAAACACTTATTCAAAAATATAGCTGAAACTAGTCAAGGAAATTTCAAGGAAATCAATTTCTTAATATATTTTGAACCTTTTAATATTGGGATGGATCCAGATTTAGTCATGTTTAGACTAGACCCATGAAGAAGATTAGGGTTAAACCAATTAGACTTAAATTAAGTCTTCTTTATTTCATGTTCCTGTTCTAAATAAACACCAAATAATATTGGTAATATGAAGTTGTTTATAATTTAGATAACCCTTTGGTTCATAGTAGTCCTTTTAAGTTTTATAATGTAAGCTGGGCTCAAGCATGATATGTCATCATTTATTTTAATAATGATATGTAAACTAAGCCATAATGGTGTGCATCACATAGGGTGCTGAGTAATAAGTCATGATTTATATACTTGGTTTATATTATGGTAAAATAAAATCCAACAAAAGAAATAATAGATTAACACAATGTGCGAATCCATTTTTTCTTTGATATTCTGAAAATCTAATTTCATAATCAAAGTGAATGGTATAGGACAGTGATTCTCAACCTTTCTAATGCCATGATCCCATAATACAGTTCCCCATGTTGAGGTGACCCCCAATAAGAGGGAGTAGGACAGCTAGGGAAAAGGGAAAAAAATGGCGGACAGCATGGTTTGGCGACCCCTGTGAAATGGTCATTCAACCCCAAATGGGGTCCCGACCCACAGGTTGAGAACCACTGGTATAGGACATTCACCACTATAAATTTAAAAAAAATTCTAAATTATATCAGGAAGATGGATGGTTTCATAAGTTGCTTCAACATTAAAACAAAAATATTTAAGAGACTTTACACACTTACTATATGTTAGATGCCTATTTGCCCCCCAGAAATTTGTAAACTAAGTTTTCTAAGGAGAAATGTTTGTCTGCTGTCTAGTCTCACAAATGTGCAAATTTTAAATTCTAGAAAATCCAAATTCTCTGAATATGGAAACGTTTGGATTTCAGTAAATAATTTGTAAAGAAAATGAAAATAATGATTGCTCAGTAATTTTATTCCAAAGAATTAAGCACTACCATCTTGAATGACAATAGGAATATGGTGCTCATGAAAACCAATGTGCCCTCTTAGTATACACCAGAGTTCAAACTACAGAATGTCTGTGTCTAAAAAACCATTTTAAAATATCAAGCAAACATTAATAGTAATTATCCACTAGTTAAAAAAAGAACATTTTGGAAGCTAGTAAGCTTTCTCATAAATTAATATTTTGTGACTGTTCATACCTACTGTGGCAACTATTGACTTGATATATTCAGATCAGATAACTTATTAAGAATACTTTTTTTAAAAGATTGCAGAGTTAACATGCCTTTTATCCAAACTATCTATTTAGCTGATTTAAAGATATAGCAAAAAGATGAGAAATTGGTTAAATTTAGGAAGAATGTGTAGGTGAAAGTAATCACAGAATGTAGGTGGGTGTCATAATGTAGGAAGATAAGCAAGCTTAAAATAATTGAAGTAGCTGTTCATCTAAGTATGGTATCATAACTTTGTAAACTCTCTTTATAAAACTCACTGGTTTGCAATACATTGATTTTTTGGGGGACTCCTGGTTAAAGTTCCTTTCCACAATAATTTTATTTCTAAAATTCAGTTGGATTTACTTCCAATAAATATGCATAACAGTACATCTGTTTTGTATATTTAATAAGCAGCCCAATCCTTTATATTCATTTAGAGATTTAATTTCTCTGTGGATTAAATACAGATTCAGTATTCCTTAAGACATACAACTTAATCAGTGAAAGATTACCTATGACCCTCCCAATTGTGTTTTATGTGTGATCATATTTAAAGCATTTATCTCATTATTTGAAGACTTCCTTCCTTTCCTTTCTCCCACATTCCCCAGCAGTTATGTATGCATATAATTTGTCTTTTGCAGGACAGGACAAGACATGGACTTGTCCTATGAGTTGTTAAAATTAAAGTTTTCCCTACCTGATGTCACAGAAAGACAAATTACTTTTTCTTAAACTGGTAAAAGACAAAATATTACCTCAAGTAAAAAGGACAGAGTCATCTGCCCCCTCTTGTCTTATTATTATGATTTCCTATTTTCTGGATAACAGCCCAATATTGTTTTGTTAACAAATATAATTATTTAAGCTGATTATTATTTCTTATGCTTCTGTATTTGGTAGGTTTGAAAGGAGGGGTTGGTGGACCGGATGGTCAAGGAGGTACTTTCCGTTATTCTTTTCATGGAGACCCACATGCTACATTTGCAGCATTTTTTGGTGGCGCAAACCCTTTTGAAATGTTCTTTGGCAGAAGGATGGCTAGTGGCAGGGACACTGAAGATATGGAAGTGGATGGTGATCCATTTGGTTCCTTTTCTACTTTTAATGTGAATGGATTTCCAAGAGAAAGAAACACAGTTGGTAATCAACCCCGTCGTAAACAAGATCCTCCTGTTATTCATGAACTGAAAGTATCATTGGAAGAGATTTATCAGGGCTGCACGAAAAGAATGAGAATTTCCCGAAAAAGGCTCAATCCAGATGGTAGAAGTGTCAGAACAGAAGATAAAATCCTTACAATTGATATTAAGAGAGGATGGAAGGAAGGTACCAAAATCACATTCCCCAAAGAGAGCGATGAAACACCCAACAACATCCCAGCTGATATTGTATTTGTTATTAAAGATAAATTACATCCTCATTTCAAGAGAGATGGTTCAAATATAATCTACCCTGTCAAGATTAGTTTACGGGAGGTAAGTACTCTTTTAAGTTTAAAACTGGATTTTTAATATTTCTACAATCTGTTTTCATTTATATTGTTTTATATTTGTAGTTGAGTTAAACTTGACATAGATCAATGTTCGTTAAGAATGCAAGGCTTATGTAGGTAGTTAGATGTTAAATAGCTTAATTTTGAAATATGGCATGTAAGGTTAGAATTTAATATGTTAAATAATATATTCTGTAGCATTTTATCCTTCTCCCACAAAGTTAACTCTGTTCTTGCTAACTATCTATTCAGTGAACTGTTTACCTCTGAACGCTGTTTTGCTTTTTCCTCACTGTCATTATACACATAAATCATCCGACTTTGTACTGGTTTTCTGTACTGCTTTTGCTTGCACTTTACATTTGTATGGGAATTTGCAATACTAGGGTGTGGTGTTGTCCTACAACAATGTTATAGTGAATGTGTTGTCCTTGAATATTCCTCAAATAGAAATGCAAACAATCCTCTATGAAGTAACATAATCAGAATGCTGGTAGAGGGAAATGTATCATCAAGTTTGCAATAGTGGCGGATATCTGTAGCTCGGGTGTAGGATGAGGGTGAAGGTTTGTTCTCCCAGCTTGTGGGTGGGTTTCCGAATAAGCTCGAAGAACAAACCTTCACCCATATCATCAAGTATTAGAAATTTTTTTGTGATCACAGAAAAACAATTAACACTATTGTGAGAACAAAAGAGCAGCATTCTGCTTGTGTGAGCAACTTTATGCTGATCTGCCATGATATTTTCATTGATTTCAAATATATTTTACCATAATATTGATATAATGTTGATATAGTTATATTTACAAGACAACAAACGTTGCCTCCAAGCAAGTTAGGCAGCATGTAAGTTTAATAAATAACTAACAAATAAATAATGGCACCTTATATTGTCAGTTCAAAAAAAAAATAGTAGTTATATTGTTAGTTCAGTCACCAGATATAGAATAATAATATAGTAAAAGTATATTCCATATATATATCTATATAATCTAAAAAGATACCAAGGCCATCAAATTTTTAAAAATTTGTATAGGATTCCTTATTCCAACAGTAAAACATCTTGGGTAGTATGCTGTATTGGTACTTTTTGTATTGTGAACATGCAAACTAGATGACTAGATTTAGGAGATAGACATCCACTGCAATAATCAGTTGTCAAAAGTGTGCAGCATATACATTTAGTTACCTTAATGCACACATCATAATTTCTATTAGAGCACTATTTCTCAGTCAATAATTCCTGTGTATTACAAATGGTATGTAAAAGCAATCCTGGTAGGGTACAAGACAAGTTATTAAAACTCTTCTGCTGACTATATTTCCCTACTCCTATGATAACATGATAGCCTTTTTTACTTTCAAGCCTGGGATAACTGTTAGGCCAGTTTTCCATTTGCTTTGCATTTGCCTAATCAACTTTGCTTGTCCACCAGCCACTTTTTTCCTGGGATTTTATATGTCTTTCCTCAGGAGCCACAGATGGCAAATGGGTATATCTTGTCAAGGCCATAATCTCCATCCTCACTGAGTCATCCATTTGGACATGAAAGAAAAGGAAGTAGTGACAGTGGTGGGCCATTTTCCAAAATTAACTGTAAAGCAACTCAGTTGCTTCTTCCCCCACCTTTGTCCTCTGTTGTTCATTTCAAACAACAAATCCCAGTTTTCCACATAGGCCTTCTCAGAAGTAAACCTAATAGTATTTGGTGGAACCCTTGGTAATGTTACATAATGGAATCTGTATTGTGCTGGTAACTTCGTCATTATTATTGAGGAATGAATACAAAAACAGATTTTTTAAAAACATAAATGTCATTCTTGGGAAACCAAAGTAATTAGTCAAACCCAAATGCCCTACAAAAGACGTCAATTTTGAGCAACTTCTGGAAAGACAGTCCTGTATGGGAGTCAATTTGATGTTCACTAGGAGGCTTTTTCAAAGGACCAGCACTTTAAATGAAGAACAATATTGCTAACAAGCCTTGGCCTCCCTGATCTCCTTAAAGTGGGGCAGTGCTAATGGTTTTTCCAGGATACTCAAACTGAGTAGACTAATGTAGTCCTGCAAATAAATATGCATGTAGGATTTTATAGTTTAACACTGGAACTTTAAAATTACATCCATAAGTTTGGTGGCAACCAATGCAGGGCTTGCAGTACAGGTATAATGTGTCCCCTTGGCAGACCCTGGTATGCACACAGGCTAATGCTCTGGGAGTTTCTCTGAGCCCCATCATAGTCTTTGTAATTTTCCCACAAATGGTAAGATTGAAATCTGGGCACTAATTGTTCAGTACTTTTAGTTTCAAGGTTGTTATGTGTTTGCAATAATGGTGAATATCTGTAGCTCAAGTGTAGGATGAGGGTGAAGGTTCATTCTCCGAGCTCAACCCACAAGATCAGAGAATGAACCTTCACCCTCATTGTTACATATCTCCTCTTACAACGAGGCATTAACAGATCCAGGAAATGCCTCCCTCCCTGGACTGCTAGAAGGAGCTGGGGGGGGGGGCAGGGATTCAGCCCACAGGTAGCAGATGACATCTTAAAGAACATTATTTACATCTATATTGTGAATTTTAAAAAGGTAAGTGTTCCATCTCTAAATAGCAAGAATAACTGACTGATAAGTTTTGATACAATTTAGTATGTCAGAAATGTTTTAAAATCAGTTTGAGAATTTGACTTCCGTAAGCCTGGTTAGGGATACAGTATATGTGCCAAACATTTAGAGGTTAAAAAATTCTGACCTCAGAATATTGTCTTCTTTTGTCAGAACACTTGTTCACGATCAAAATGGATATTCCAAGTTTAGAACATTCCAACACTTCTCGCAATCAATTACATTCCAAGACTATAACAGGATATTCCTATTAAATGAGATGCAGATAGTCCCATTTCACTCTGTTACATTATTGTAATGTAAAAGGTGGAAATTCATGTCATGTGCCCAGAACATACCCATGAAAGAAAAAATATTGTTGGCAATGTTCCTGTCTCCTGTCTTTACATTTGGGCATTTTTTGCACATTTTGTTAAGTGGTAAAGTACTATTTTATCTTTATTGCAAATGGTATTTATATACTGAACTGTTCAACTATTTGGTGGTAGCTCTCCACTTACAAAAAAGATACAACATAGTGGTTTTTGCATTTGAATAAATTATGCTGTCATTTATTTAAGAATTATAGTTATTTATCTTTATGAAGGACATGTAGTATATTTGAAGCCTGAAGAAATAACAAATATGCTGCTCTTAATTGTTTCAATTTACTATTTTCCAGGCTTTATGTGGCACCTCAATCAATGTACCAACTATAGAAGGCCGAACAATACCTATGACAGTAAATGAAGTTGTAAAGCCTGGAATGAGAAGGAGAATTATAGGATATGGTTTACCATTTCCTAAAAATCATGAGCAACGAGGTGACTTAATTATAGAATTTGAAGTAATTTTCCCAGATAATATAGCTCCAGCCTCAAAAGAAGTACTCAGGAGAAATCTTCCTGTATCATAAAGAACCTATCAGTGAACTGTTCCGAATAGACATTGAACATCAAGGACTTTCAGGTTTATGCTGTAAAAGTTCAGTCTATAACTGTTGAACTTTTCTTTTGTGTGTGCAGGTAGGGAAGTGAATTATGCAGTGTTGCATGAGAATTGGAGTACAAAATACAAAGACTTGCAACCAAGTATAAGGCTATTACTACTTACCGTTTGTTGGATCTTCCTTTACAAAACACTTTATCCAGTATTTTGTGTCCATGTAATCATGGGTAAAAAGGGAACACCTCTGTCCGTGTATTTCTAATAAAGTGCATAATTTGCTATGCACTTTAATTCAGATAATCCCGATTATCTCTGTGAGTTAAAATATCACAGTATTAGAGTTCATTATATGAATCTATGTAACATTTGCAATATTTATTTTATATATATACTCTTAAGCTGCATTACCTTCTGCACAGCAGCAGGCAAGTAACATCACTTAAAATGTTTATGAGCTCAAAGAAAAGGTGGGTCTTACATTATTGTACCAGTCTGTGAATTCCTTTAGTCCATATTCTGGTAGTAGACATAGCAACCGAATAGAAAATAAAATTTGATGGCCTACTGTTTTTGGCCTAATAGATTTCCAGATAGAAATTGTTGTGAAAATGCATTAATGCTCTCTGGAACTTATATTTTATGAAGCGGCATACTTATAAGCATCATCTGATTAATTAGCCTAATTCAGTAACGATTGCAATCTTTCTCAAGTTTAGTATGAATACTTGAAATTCAGACAAACTGAAATTTTTATGAATATGTAGTGAATTATTTGAAGAAAAAGTAATGAAACTTTATTTTTGAAAAGAAGTACATATCCAGCTAATATCCTTGGGCAGCAGATGAACAGTATTAAAATTAAGGCAACACTACTTGTCTTGTAATATGGTCAAATGGAAATATTCATGAAATTATTTATCTTGTTTACAATAAAACTTAATTTTATTCAGTCAAAGTGTGCTAGAAAGCACCCTTAAGTGACAAGCTGTTTAACAATTATGTAAAAAGTTAATGATACCAGTTTTCTAAAACTAGCATATTAAAATCCAAAATAGTTGCAGTAATTGATAGTGGGAGGACACGCTTTAAAAACGACTCCTGAGTGAATGGGAATTTTTTTTTAATGGAATTTAGTACAAAGGCTGTAAACTGACAAGGTGTGCAATCTTAAACCAGGACTATGGAAAGCATTTGAAAGAGGTATTTCACAAAGCACATTAAAATAAATGAAGGATCAGTCTTCAAAGTAGTAAAACAGTTGTCTTCTTTGCAAATCTCATGTAGCTTCTTCAGAAGCTCTTCCCAGTTGTCTGCATGCTCATACACAGAACATTTTTGCTGAGACACCTGCATGTGGAGTAAGCAAAGACTGCTTTCAAACCAGTTGCATGTGCCTTGCAAAGGACCTGATTACTTTAATGCTTTGAAGCAAAATGCTGTTTATGCTAAAGTACTCTGCAAACAACCTCTTTTGAACACCTTATAACATCTCTTTCTGAAACTAGAGAGAATCTATAAAGCAAGTTTTAATGACACTAAAAATGAGAACAAGAAAACTACTACTTTTTATTTGTGCACATTGTAAATGTATTTAAATATACTTTATGATAATGTATTGCATTTCATATTTTTAAATATTAAACTATTATTTTTAACTTTTTTTCTTCCAATTGTCAATTTGATGCATGAGAGCAAATGAAAATAGTATTTGACATTTGAAACAACACGTACCTGCAGTATGGAGATAATGCACTATACCAGTGTTTCTCAATTCTGGGAACTCTGGGAGTTGGAGTCTACACATATGCAAGCTGCCAATGTCTATTCTGTTATTAAGAGTAAATGCCGATGAAACCTATGGCATTTACAAGATAGGAAAGTTCTAGATTGTATAGTTAAATGAATGGGTTTATATATTATAGTAAAATACTGTAAGACCATTTTTAATAGTTTCCTGTTTTGTTGCATAGGTCAGTTGTATTTACACGCAATGCTAGACTACAATCCATGGTTTACAAACTACAGTGGTTGTGTTCATGCAATGTGTACAAAACTATTTTTTCTAGCTGTAAATTCAATATCTTTTAATATTAAGAGACGGTATCAAAGTGATCAATTGATAATCCCACAGTTGTCATCTGATCTAAATAAATGGTAATGTTTTGTGGCAGTAGCATGTGACATGATAAATGTATATTGTAGAAGGAGCTCTGAATTTGTCCTGAATATGCCAACTTTTTTATTTATTGCATTTCAATCTTGTCGTTCTTCATGCCTTAATTATCTCCTGATTAGACTATTCTAAAACCCTCTTCATAGGATTGCTCTTGAAAAGCATTCAGAAGCTTCATCTGGTTTAGAATTTGGCATGAGCCCGCAAGTTCCTGGGTGTAATTCAAGATGTGGTTGTCACCTTCAAAGCCCCCTAGATGGCCTGGGACTGTATTTGCAGGTCTGCCTATCCCCAATGGTTTCTGCCTATGTTACCGGATGTGGCAGATTGAGCATACTCTGGCGCTAGATGAGGTAATGGTGAATTGGCCTTACAAGTGTGATTAATTAATAAAAATAATCGATAAACACTTTATTAAAATGAGAAGCTATTGAATGGAAAACAGCAATGATGCAAAATAACTAGCAGAAATATGCAAAACATATGTAAAATTCTGGGAATGGAATAATGCCCAGAATACAGGAATATTCAGTGTTTCTTTTAGATCACACCAATCTAGCTGTTGCTGGGAAGATCAATACTGGATTAAATCAGAAAAAAGAAAAATAGAACATTCCAATGTTTCCCAAAATATTTTTTTGAAGGCTTTAAGAGCATTTTTCTGTTACACATCACTATTTTGCTGATTATAAATTTAGCTATATCATTCTTTATTATTGATTCACTGGTAGACTTTCTCATTTTGCTGAAAACTAATCTTGGCCTTACGTGTCTCCTTCTGAATAGTTGGTTAATAGTATCAAGTTATATTGTGCAATCATTCTATCTCTTCTTCCATAACAGATGTTTAAATAAAACCCAGAAAGATAAACTTCACTTTTGCCGCCTCCTTCCATTTTCTGCATCGGAAAAGGCAATTGCAAAATAACAATTTCCTCTAAAAGTCTTCTCTTTCAAGACAATCCAAAAGAGGCACCCACAGACTTGCATTAGAAGCAGTAAAACATTGTTTGCTAATACGTCCCAAACTTATATATTTCTTGAAAGTCACAGTGAAACCCATGTATAAAACTACACTTCTGTTTTAAGCTATTATAACACTGATTGTTTTTAAAGAAGGTTAAGACTTTCTTTTTGTCTTTGATTTTAAAGAGATGTAGTTCCAGAAGGATTGAAGAAGCAGTCATCCAAATAAATGCCAATAATTTAATAAATAAATAAAGCTGAAGTAGATGTGCTTAAATTTGACTGCCTATCTTTACTTCTGGGTGTAATTCAAGGTATTGGTTATTATGTATAAAGCGGTTTGTGGCATGGGTCTAGGGTAGGGGTAGGCAACCTTGCCTCTTTTATGACGTGGACTTCAACTCCCAGAATTCCTGAGCCAGCATGGCTCAGCTTGGAAACCTTCCTTTCCCCTCAGCATGGCTGGCTCAGGGATTCTGGGAGTTGAAGTCCACCTCATAAAATAACCAAGGTTGCCTACCCCTGGTCTAGGGCATTTGAGGAGCTTATCCCACTGTTTGTGCCCATCCCACTAGGTCAGGTAAGAGGGACTCTGGGTCCCATAGATCAGGAACTGTCATCCAGGGGACCCAGAAACATGCCTTCTCCAACAAGCCCTAAAAATCTGGCTGTTTTCAGGGAGATGGGGGAATAATTGAGCCCAATCGTTCTGCAGTGTCTTCAGCAGCCACTTTGTGTTTTGGTTGACCTTGACATTTTTTAAAACACTGTACTTGTATTTTTTAATTATTGTTTTTTAAAACTTTGTTAGCCGCAGTCTGAAGATAGGTGGCCACATTAAAAACAAAAACAACCCCCCCCCTATGAATAAAATCTTACGCAACAGGATCTTTGCGACGACCCTCTACAATTTAGCGGCTGACACAAACAGCACCGAAGAGAAAAAGACCCCCGGCAGTCGGGCGCGAAGTTGCTGCCGGGCCCAAAGGCCCGTAGCCCATTGGCTGTCGCCTGTTTAGTCCACCTGCCGGGCGATGGCTAAAGCGGGAGGTGCGCCGCGAGCTCGCGGCTTGAGCGGGCAGAGTTCAGCCAAGTGGGAAAGAGCAAGTGGCGCCGCCGCTCCGCCACCAGTGGCGCACAGGTGCGTCTCGCCTCTGGCTTACGGTGGGCGGGCTGGGAAGATGCCTCTGGGACTGAGGAGAAAGAAGAAAGGCAAATCCAGGGAGACCTCCATGCTGGTGGACGGTGAGGCTCCGCCGGCGCGAGGGCGAGGCGACGACGAGCTCGGGGTCGGGGCCGGCGCTCGTGCCGGAGCGGGGGGCGCCACAGCTCCGCGCGGTCCCGTCCGCTTGGTCTTCCACACTCAGCTGGCGCACGGCAGCCCCACGGGGCGCGTGGAAGGCTTTGGCAGCGTGAAGGAGCTTTACGCTAAAATCGCTGAGGCGTTCCGCATTTCCCCGGCCGAGGTACGTGGCCGCCGGTGGTGGTGGTGATGGCGGTGGTGTGTCACCCAGGTCTTAAGTTTCCCTCCCTTTCTACTGCATAGCTGTAACCCAGGGGTCCGTCAGATTTCCATGTTCCTGTTCAGAGTATGTTAAAGACCAGGCAACCGAACTGAGTGCTCCTGTTTAAGCGTAACCATCTTCTTTTGAGGAGATGCGGATTCCAGCCTTTGGGGTTTCCAATAATTTTGTGCGCTGTATTTTTTTTTTTTTTTTACTCAGCAAAGTCATGTTTTCCTCAAGTTGAATTTAATTCCTGGTAACTTATGAACATCTCCATGTAGATTTTTGTCTGTCATGTATGTATATATTTTCAATCTATTAATTTTTTTTATCCCACCTTTCTTAATATAACATCTAGCACTGAAGCTTTACTAGGACAGGAGAACTGAGTTTTTAAGCGTAGTTTTAGGCACAGAAGCCAGATGGGTCACTTTTGGGTCAGTACCAAGAAGGTATTGGCAAACCATTTCCAAAAATGTTACCAAGCAAACTGTATGGCTCTCTCCATGTAGTTGTCTGGACTCAAGCTTGACTTGAAGGACACACACACACCTGCACACACAAACAAACACACACACATCCATCTGATATATATGGAATGGAAGTACTGAAGCCTACTTATTATGATGCCTAAGTGAAAAATCTGAAGAATATTTTAATCTCAAAACTTCAACCAATACAAGTAAGTATTAAACACATCACAATTACCAAATGAAAAAGTACTACTTTCTCACATGTGAACTGCATAAACAACTTCTTTTCCTTCCCTACCTTCTATACTTATACCACCTCAAATTAAATAATATATTTATTCAGCCACTCTATGCATCTGATAATGTGAGCTGTAATTCACAAAAGTTATTCTTTCAGTAAAGTGTATTAGTTAGAAAAATGCTATGACAGTCCTTTTGATTTTTTCAGTGTTTCCTGGGATTAACCTATATAGTAATAAATGCTTTTGATTAATTTGTGTTCTATTAATGGTGGTATCGAATCTGTTACTTTTGATGAGTTGATTCATCCTGCCTAAAGCTTTAATGTCATTTGTAGCTTTGTTGTAATAGAAAGATACTCAATTGTATTATTCAAATATTTGGCTGAGTGATTTGTATTTTATTCTACAGATCTGTTTCCTGTAATGGTTGCAAAACTTAGACACAAAATTGCTTCTTGATTTATTTAAATCCTACAATAGTTCTATATTTGTGGCTCAGAGCACTGTAAAAGAAACAATTCTTAACACATGTAATTATATTCCTAGCTACAAGTATCACTTTACCCATGGCATTCAACTTACAATGGTATCTTATTTATTCTCACGAGGAACAATAAAGCTTTGAAAGAGAGAAATTTCTTTATTGATAAAAAAAGTTCAGAAGGTATTTCACACCAGACAGTTTGGAACATGGCATTGTTCTACTTACTTTTGTGCACACAAAATGAAAAAAGGCCCTTTCTTCCATAATCTTAGTAAACTAGAATAAGTTGATGCCTAATTAATATTTTTATGAGGTTTGGATAAAACATTTTTTTGAAAATAAAAAACCCAACCTTTGTTGTTCAATAATTTATTTGTGACAGATGAGAGAGATAAAGATAAAAATGTTTGGGTTGCACTATTGGGCAGAAACATTTGTTTTGAACAGAAATCTATCCCCCTGCATTCAAAATGAGGATACAAGAATTTATATCCACATGAATTTTTTTTGTGGGATACTCTCTGTCTTGGTTGTTTTCTTGGAGACATTTTATCACCCAACTAGGTATCATCAATGCTAGAAGGGAGTGGGATTTGCTCTCTGTTTATATACAAACGGCTTGGCCTGTCAGTATTGGTGAGAGCGCTCTTGGTAGCTCCTTGATTAGCTCTTCAGACAGCTCAGAGACCACCAAGGACCCCCACAGTTCAACCTTGAGCTACAAATAGTCTATTCTATTTACTAGAGATTGGCCAGAAGTTTTGCACTTGCTCACACATTATTTATTTTGGCATACTGGACTGTGCTAAATCATTTTGTAATGTTTAATATACAAACATTAATGTTAGCAATTCAGCTTGACCGATAGCAGTCTTTACTCCTTAAGCAAATCAAGGCAAGAAACTTGATGATGGTATTAATGCTTGCATATTAGAAATTGTGATAAATTGGTTTGGTTCTTGGATAAACATAGTGTGTACCAATATTTGTAAAACTTAACATATTTTGAGGACACAGAAAATCAGCATTTTCTGGGACTGGTTTGTTTTATAATTAACAATGGTAGATTTTACCTTGATTGGGCCCTTCTGTGTTTATGAATTTTCTAGAGAATGTTAATACACAGTTAATCACTGGCTTTGTTGGCTGACCTGGAGAGGATAGAGGCTCTGCAGAAATGTTTTAATTTTTTTTTGTTTCTATTTGTTTCCTTTTCCTTGATTACTGTTTACTTTCTATTATTTCTTACCTACCAAAAAAAAAAGACAAAAAAGAAGTGGCATACTACAAAGAAAATGATGACCAATGCAGAGATCACCAAATAATTAATTGGGTAATCCACTGGTGGATAATTGCTTGAATATAAAGAGGAATAGACTCAGTTAGTTGGGTTAGGCGAATGGGGCACCAAGTCTCACAGTTCTTTCTAGTGGTAAAAGCAAGTCAAATGGAAATAGCTGGATGGTAAAAACAGACTTTCAATTACAGCAGATATAGTTCAGACAACTAAGTGTATGTCACATGTACTACATGTGTGATGGGAGTATGTTTTTTCAATCATATAGAAAGAGAAAAGGGGTCTGAATTTCAGAAAAAACAGGCATATGACATTACTGAACATTAATATTGTGACATTAACCTGCTGAGAAAAAAAATTAAAGAAGAGGTTAGGAAAGTGCTATATGCCTCATGTATATATTTTATTTTTAATATTTAATTTAGTTTCCTGAACCAGATTGGGATAGTTCCATGTTTGGATCTGTTCAGCTACAATTTCATATCTTAGATAATTGGCATGTTGAAGTTATAAATAAAACAAAATAAGCTGCCTCTGTTTTTATGTACAAACAGTACAGTTCTCATTCAAAATACTTATTCTTACTGAAGCTAGTGCCCTTTCATCAGACTTCTGAATTAAACAAATAAGTCAATTTACTTTATTCACCATCTTGTTTTATGAATGCTGAAACACATCATGGGAAGGTATATTCCAACTTTTTCAAAGTAAATGATGTGAAGACATTTTAAAGCTACATTTATAGTATTAAATATGTTAATGCAAATGAAAATTGTTACATGAATATAAGACACATTAGTCAGAATGTACTGTACTATTTTGCACTGTACACATTTGAGAATTGTTAGACTTAGCAGAATGATTAGGCTGCATCCATATATTGTCACCATGGATTTGCTTGGTTTTGGAATATTGTAACGTGTGAGACTAACCAACTGTGACTTAATGAACAAACCATTGCTTAGAACAATATATGAACCAGATTGATTAACTCAAATATAGGATTCATATTTTAGTGTAATGTTCTTATTTTTTATTGGAAATAAATATGAATTAGAAATATTAATGTAGTTACCTTTTTTAATTAACACAATCCTACTGGAGGCTCAGGTTGATTTATGTATGATTTATTTGATTTATATATGATTTCATCATGATACCTTTATAACTTTATTTACTTCTTTTTTGAAATATACATACAACTTTTATTACTAAGGCAAAGTATAAATAACTCTGGTTTAATTCTTTACTACTATAAATGTGGATCCTTGTATATCCTGCAGGGATCACTGCATTTACTAACATGTTACTAATTCTTTATAAAAGTAAGAGCAAATACATTGTGGAAAATAATCTGTCTATACTCAGTTCCATTAGTTAATTAAACAGTGTTGCTTTCATTCCCTTAATACACCTGTCTTTCCTCTTCTCCTTTCTTGCTAAACCTTTCTTGTTTGTTTAGCCTCCAATAATTATTTTTCTATATTTGATGTGAGGTAGTCTTGAATTTACCACAAATAACTGATGCATGTACATTTCATTCTATCATGCTGACCTATTGAACTAGTAATTTACTTCTGGATTATTATTTTCAAATTACAAGTGGGAAGGTTTTATTTTATTAAGATTTCACTCAATAAGGACTAAGCTATCACCAGAATCACCTAGGTACCTACATTGAATGAAATAAAATAAATAAAATTTGGGACATGATTGTATATTGCAACAATATAGGGAGAATATAATTTGAATTATTTAGCCACTTAAAACAATTCAGATAGAAAAATACTGTCTGCTTCTCAGGTTAGGGAGGAAGAAGTCACAATCTTCTAGAAGCAATGCTTTAATTACTGGATATTGTGTAAATGATTTGTCAATGGGCTAAATGTTTTTGTGAATGGGATGTTCTATTTTAGGCTTTGGAACTTCCAGCTGAATTCAGACTGCTCTGTGTATAAATATTTGCACTATATATCACATACTTCTATTTCAGAGACACAAAGTTTCTTATTCAAATACCTTCACTTTGTATGTTCTTATTATACTATCTATAAAATAGATTGCAATGACATCTTAAGAACGACACTGACATTTTGAGACTAAAACATCACGGTAAGTATAAGCGATGATTTATCTTACCTATGCATTGCCCAACAGACTACAACAGCTGAGGCAAAGCAAAACCCACAAAAGCATGGAACCACACTTGTCTGAAATGGTATGGTAGGAGGATTTGCTGCTTGAGCAGGGGGTTGGACTAAAAGGCTTCCAAAGTCCCTTCCAATTCTGTTATTCTGTCGCACTATAATTCAATGCAATATAGCAGCCAGCTAGGCTGAGAACGTACTGATTGCTATGTTTTAAAACATTGATTGATTGATTGAATGCTTGACTGTCAGAACAATTTGTACTTAAATTACTTGGTATGAGTGTAAAGAAAAATATTTTGCTTATTTACCATTATT